TGAGAAGGAAGCCGGATACGAGCGTTTAGCGTGTATGTGACCTGCAGCGAAAATTGAACAGAGAACAAGCGCACGATACAACTCACCGGAAATTGTGTCAGGGTCGAGGTCATAAAAGTTCTCGAAAAGGAAGAAAAATAAAACAAAATAGAGTCTTTACATAGATCAAGGGAACGGCGTTAGAAAGTGAAAAGAATGGTACTACACAGCTCCCCCCTAGAAGGTTGGTGAGGAGCAACAAACCTTCGAAAAGTCAAATNGGAACACGTTCCGTAAAAACAGGACAGGTTACCGAACTTGCGGTCGATGCGTATCTGAAACTAAGCTGCGAGACTTGCGGTTGGAGCCGATTAGAGTCCACGGTCGTGTACTGTGAGCGTACCGGTTGCGTACAATCATAGAGAATTTGTGCGAGCCGATTGCAGGGCCAGTCGTTTGGAGAACGCTCCAGTTGGGGTGCAGTTCAGCGGACAGTGTCATGTCATCCGTGATCAAGAGAACGGCGTTAGAAAGTGAAAGGAATGTTACTACAGTGGAAACCGGTAACCTAAGCCCCGGGACTTGTAGTGGTGAACCACATAAGGCCCCGATAGTGTAGGTGTGGTATTATACCGGACGACAGCAAAGCTGCCTACCACCAAAGTTGGGTGTCGGTGTCTGGGATCGAACCTCGGACCATAGGGTCCAAAGCACGCCGGTGACAGCGACTATAGCACTACGCCACCACCACCCCCCCCCTGTTGCGATATCGGCGTGATACCTGATTCATCCAAGTAAATAATGGTGCTTTTTGCGCATATCTGTTTAACGGAGGCCACGCTCTTGTGGATCATCTGCGTCCATCACAGTTCCTGTTGTTGCGAATAGCTCTTGATGGGATCGTGGTGTTTCGTAGTTTACGTTAGCGATTATAGCCGTTACTTAACGGTGTGGTGTGCACAGCGTAGCCCCTTTTGAACCAGTTCAAGGATCACAATGGTTCTAGCTCTTCGGACCGATGCACTGCTGTTGGAGTACCCGATTGAAAGGTGAAATTCATGCTTGAACAATGGCACCAATAAATAGATGTAGATTTTTCAAGGCATAACGATTTCAACCACTTTGAGTATTCACCATTCCTTTTATATATATATATATATTTCGTTGATATGGTGAACCTGATTTCTTTGAATTACACACAAATTTTGTTTCTGTAAGCGTCCTCTTAGCCTGTAGACAACAAGAAGCATTATGAATCTAAATGCTATGCACTTCACACATGTCCAATTGTTTGACAGGTTTGTTTCCTTTCGACAAGTAATGTTCTCGGAAAGTGTCCTTGGTTCGATAATTTTGAACGATGGAAAACCATAAAATTCAAGCTGTTTTTCTTTGTCTGAACCCAGTGCCCCGCTAGCGATAACTATCAACACCCTCTCAAAAGGCATGGAAATGGAAATCATGTGCGTAGAAAACATTTACTCAAATAGCCAGAAATATGCAAAATGGTTCGGTTGAGGCAGATCTATAAAGTGGAAGAAAACCGAACTTGGCGCTAAATACTAAAGCAGGTTTTTTTCATTTAATATCGTTGAGTTGTACAGTGCACGCGTTGATAGAATGAAATCTTTCATATGCTACTGCAAACCGACGAGTTCTGGAACGTGTTACTACTAGACCCATGAGGAACGCTCGATGCGTAAACCGAAACGACCGACAAACAGCGATGCTTTTTTCTGATGCTCAAATTGTGAAAAGTTCAGGAACCTCGATGGGATTCGAACCTGCGCATGAACGTTGCCTACGCTTTAGCACTGCGCACGTTCTACCAGCTGAGCTACAAGACCACATTAACAGCACTGATCTTTTCACATAACTTCTGCTAATTTTAACCTGAACCGAACCATCAATCAGTGCGATATATCAATGGATTCGAAAGCCGCGCAAATGTCGAAGAACGTAATAATCGTTGGTCTTTGATAGACATGACGGTACTCTAACAGCTATCAAAAGCTGAAGATTTAATCGATGCATCCACGACCGATGCGAAACCCAGACTGCTCCCCTCAGAAGTACTCCTTACGAGTAATGTACCATCTACGAAGAATGACGGACGCCAACAGCTTTGACACTGTTGGAATATAGCATATCTCCCTGTGGTTGATGCAAACTGCATGGGCTCTTTTTAAACGTGACAACAATCGATGCTCCCCCCCCCGCAATGAAGAAGGGAAATGCTCAGAGTGCCAAACTTTAGATAACAACTTACAGTTCTCTAACAAGCCTAATTCCGTCTTTGAATGGAGCTGGGAGCAGGTAATCGAAACCCGGCGGTTTGTGACGTCCCAAGACTTGGAGCTCCATACGGATTTCAACCTCAGAAGGTGGGTCTATTGAGACAGATCATGGATGTGTGCCGGGATAGCTGTGCGAGAAGCTGACGTTGGTGACCGGTTAACTGTACCTCGAAGTGCTCCACTCAGCGTGCAAGACGTCTCTGTTGATTATGAATGGGCGAGCCGTCAGCTTTGCAGATCATTTTGCTCACACCCAGAGTTTTCATACCAGTGACCGGGTTGGGATGGAACAGCTTACGGGAGTTTCCCATGGCGGCAATACGTTTTATCTGTGATTCATGTTGGGTCCACCGGATTTTGCGGTCTCTGCATAGGCTTGTTTTGAAATTACGTCTCGCTGCAAGTCGTATTTCACTATGCTCGCTGCCGATCTGTATTGATCGGCGTGCATCAAGAAGGCGTAGAGAGTCCGCAGAAATCCAGCGTGACGCTGCACGACACTTCAGGCCACAACTGATTAAGCCAGCAGAATGCAGAGCATTCTTGATAAGCGACCAGTGCTAAACGATGTTATCAGGTGGCGTAGTGCGTTTACAATACCCATCGAAGCACATGAAACGCTTGGCGCAAACTAATGCGCGGTCACATTTGAGGGGAGCACTCCATTACGACCGACAGTCTTGTATACAACTCCGCCATTTGTGGCTCATAGGGATGTGATCGATTGGCGTTCGTCGCCTACTCGACGGGGGCGGATGCTGAGTGATGTACCGGTAGTTGGATCGTCTGAAGTTCGTACTGGTGAAGAGTACCCGGTTGTCGGACCGTAGAACCAACAGCTGTTCCCCGTTTTCCGAGCGATAAGGATCTAGTGGGAATGTCCCTCCTAAGTGCGCCTCACTCGAAGGCATTCGGTCTACGCTGGTATTCACATTTCTTGTTAAAATCACGATATAAGACCGATTCGCTTTACACAAGAGGTTGTGTAGTTTTTGGTGTATCTGGGCTACAGTTCTTGGGTGCTTACGCTGAAAGGTAAGAGAAGCTGGGTCTATGGGATCGACACCTGCTTACTTTTCACGAAGCTCTTCACAACAAACTGTCGGCTGGGAATCAGTTTTGGAGCGCGGCTTCATCTGTCTCATTGGGTGCGACACCAGCGTCAGTGAGACCGTAGGCCGCAGCCTCAGGGTCCTCGAGAAGAGTAATCGAAAGTTTGCGGATGGGTTTGATGGGGACGTCAATCGGCTAATGCAGCTGGAGTTTTGAATGCGAGTTTCTTGGACGCAGTACACATCGATGGCTAGTCTCGAGGGTACGGGCTAAACACACCTGTTGTCCTTCTCGCATCAGTTTAAGTTTTTACAACCATTAACCATATATATATTTCACACATGCCTGACGCCAGACTGTGTGCCAAAACAAATCATGGTACTATAAACTTTATAAAAAGAAAATCATTCCATAATTTGCATGTGGACTGAAACCTGCGAGGTTGCCCTAGCTAAGTTTCTCATTGCATTGTCTGCTATAATGGATTGCGTGACTATAGATAATACGCGGAGGAGAGTGGTGGAGCTGTCGTTAGCCGGGTCACTACGAAAGCCGCTTTTGTATATGGTTGAAGTCATTGTTTTTTCCATGTTTGTGGGAGCTCGGTTCTGTCAGAAATACGTTGGAATAGTATAATTTAATGCTGAGCTGTTACTTGCCAGATTGATAATGGTTTGTGAATGGATATTATCTATCCGTGAAGACCAATTTCTTTTCAAATACTGCAATTACAATGCTATGATTTCTGAGGAAAATTCAGTTGTGATTAGCTGTAGATGTAGTATGTACTTGAGTAACTGAAACATTTGTGGCCCGATTTTGGTAAGTGTAGTGAACACTGGAGTGTATTGATGTTTTAACATCGCCTGCCTCGTTGTTTGTGACTGAGACATATACTGCCAAACCTAGGCCTGGAACGCGATACTGGACTTTTCTGGAGGTATTTAAGTGTTTGCACACCAGCTTTAGATTAAATCTAAAGTGCACATGAGCATTTCTTGGTACATCAACTTATCTTCTCGCGTCAAATTAGTGCATTGTTTCGCATTTGACTGTGGTTTTTACAGGGAAATCGTTTGTAGGCTCACCATGAAATACTCCTTTGCAAAATCCCCTTTTTTTGTCTGACTGCGAATCACCAATTTTTGACCAGTTGGTTAAGTAATATGCTTCATCTTGATGACGCATTTCTAAGGGGCTGGAACGAGGTCTCGGAGGGCCAGATGCTTTTCCGGGATTCGGTTATGCTGTGCAATGGATTCGGCTTGAAGGAAGTGGTATTCATTCACGATAACATCTAATCCACATAAACAACTTTAGAAAAGATTGATCCCCAGTTTTGTTTCCATTCTCCACTTTCAGGTTATTTTGCTGTCGGCCACTATTCCAGACGAAGTGCTTGAGGTGACCAAACACTTCATGGACGATCCGGTCCGCATCCTGGTCAAACAGGAGGAGCTCACTCTAGAGGGAATCCGCCAATTCTATGTGAACGTAGAACAAGAGGAATGGAAATTGGACACACTGTGCGACCTATATCAGACGATCGCAATTACACAGGCCGTGATTTTCTGCAACACCCGTCGGAAAGTAGAATGGCTGACTAACGAGTTGACCGAGCGCGATTTCATCGTTTCTGCCATGGTAAGTAGCCGCATCGTTTCCCCCCATGATTAGTTTGATACCGACTAATGGTACAAACCAAACTGAGACCATTAGTACTGCCAAGTTCCATTTCACAGTACTATTGCAGTTGAACCTTTTCACACACATATGACGTTGTCTTACATTCGATCGAGTTGCCGATTTTTCCTGATAATGTTCGATTCATCACCGTCAGATTTCTTTCTCCTAAGACGATCACACGGTAAACCCGCAACGTTGATGATACTAATCCAGTGAAATCACAATTAACATTCGTTCTATTCAGTGAGTCAAATGTAAAGCTTCAAGTGACGGCAAACTATAATCCAAAAGCACATTTGGAACACATCTGGTAACAGTTTTTACCCGGCTAATCAATATCCGAGTAAAATACCACTCCTGTATACTTTTTCCTTTCTCCTTCCTTTTATTGAATTTACAAAGATACAAGTTTCTATACGGGTGAAACAGCCAATTAAAGGGCTGCCATACAACACACATAATAGGGAACGTCAGGCGATGTTGGTTGTGTTCGAACACGTTCTCCGGGGTGATAATTAGGTGACGTTACCACCAGGCCACCACGCCCAATGTAGTATGCCGCAATTACGTACCCAGAGTTGTTGCCAACGCAACTGGGACACAGATTTGTTAAATTCTTCATCCAACCAATGCTGTTCATTCGATAATAATTAACACTTTCATGTATGACACATTTAGACGGGTGGACCCCATAATCAAGAGGACCTGCTCCTCAGCGATGAAAATTAACAACCTAAGCACCGGGACTTAGAGCGGTGAACCACATTAGGCCCCACCAGGTTGGGCATGGTATTGAGCCGGGCGACCACAAGGCTGCCTGCTGGCAAGTTGGGCAGCGGTGGCGCGGTTCGAGCCACAGAGCATGGGGTTTAAGCGAACCGGTGACACCAACTAGGCCATTAGACCATCACCTGTATGGATATGTTTGCGGACTAGAAGTTGAATTAATACTTCGTTAAATGAAAGAAGTTTGGTGCATCTGAATTGCACAATAAAATCCATCTTTGGTGGTGGTGGTAGTGGTGGTGGCTCAATGGTTTAGTCGCTGTCACCGGCGTGCTTTGGACCCTATGGTCCGAGGTTCGAGCCGCGCCACCGTCACCCAACTTTGGTGGTAGGCAGCTTTGCTGTCATCCGGTTCAGTGCCACGCCCAACCTATCGGGGCCTTATGTTGTTCATCGCTCCAAGTCTCGGCTTTGGTTACCGGTTTCCATGATGGGGCAGCAGGTCTTCGTGATTATGGGGTTCCCCCCGTCTGCTGTTCACCACAAATGTGTGTTAGAAAAAACCTCACAAATGATGAAATGAACCGAATTAGCAATCCATAAGTAGGCGTTCTATCGCAAATTTTAGAATATAATTATCGGTTTTCAAGTCCGAGAGCAAAACGAGCATGGATCCATCACGAACGATTGCACTGCTACTTTTACCGGGCTATCTCTTGCCAGAGTATAAGTCGACTCCATGAAGTGTTAGGGCCACTGTGTACACTGTTTAGATTCTTGGAAAGAATATTTCAAACGGTGTTCCGAGAATCACTCGATTTTTTTATTCAGGCCTTCGATGATTGCAAAAGAACCTGAAAATCAGCAGGGTTGTTCCAGGTATGTCAATGATCAGTAGTTTGGCTCATTCACCTCTTCTAGATGTCCTGCTGAGTGGATGGAAAGGGACAACGGGTAGTGACCTTATCCATGATGGGTCACATTCACCATGGGAAACTGCTGTCGCCAGATTCTTATGCTTTATAGGCAAGCGAAAACGCCCCACATCCTTTTGCATAATGACTGTTCGCCAATGGTGTCTTGTTCAGTCAGTTTGAGCCCACCCAATTCACAAATAAGCCTCTGTTTGGCGGCCGGTTCCCTGTCGGAGACCGCTGGCTGCTCCAGCTAGCACCGACATAGAGAAAAGATTGTAAAACAGAATGATAACAAGATATCCCACCGAGTTGACTTTGGGTGTACAATGATTGTTTCCGGAGGTGGTAGGCTATCCCAGCCAGCGGGGCTTTTCGCCACCGGTTCAGTTTCAAGTTCGTGGCGGGATGAAGGCCTTATTCGGTGGGCACTGTTTTACCGAACAAATGGTTACAGAAGATCAGCGGCGATTTATTGAGGACCTGACAGGTTTTTTTATTACGCACTTTCGTGTGATGAACAGCAGACGGGGCGAATCTCATAGTCACGAGGACATGCTGTTCAGTGATGGAAACCGGTGACCCAAGCCCCCGGGACTTGGAGTGACGAACCACATAAGGCCCCGATTGGTTTTCTCATGACCAGCAGTCTCCCCGCAGCGGAAAGCGGTTCCTAACCGTGAAATGCACGAGTGCTTTTTGGCATGCTTCAGTCCATGCATCTGGATGTTAACTAGAAAAGAAACCGAAATCTCAACATCCTGTTACTAGTCAAATGACTTCACTTCGACAAATCACAGTTTCTTACCAGAGTACACCTCCAAATAATGGACTTTGTGATGCCACACATAATCACTTCCCTCATTCTGATGCCAGTAGTCAATCGAACTTCCCTGTAATTGTCTACAAACTCATTGGTTCCCGTGTTTTTGTTAACTGAATGAACTAAACCGATGCGTCACACACTGAACTGCCCCCCTGTTGTTATTCCTTTTTTTTGCAGCATGGTGATATGGAACAAGCCGAACGTGATAACATTATGACCGCCTTCCGGAGCGGATCTAGTCGAGTGTTGATCAGCACCGATCTTTTGGCCCGTGGAATCGATGTGCAACAAATCTCTTTGGTGATCAATTTTGATTTGCCCACCACTCTAGAAAACTACATACACAGGTCAGTTTGTGTGTGTGCACGGGGACGACAGTGACGAGGTTCTCACTAACAGGGTTTCGCAATGGTATTACCCATTGCGATCTCTTTTTCATGTCAACGAATCACTTCGGTTCGTGTTTTTTTCCCGCTGACAAATAGCCATTGCAATTACCAGCGGGCAAATCGATGTGTTCTTTCTCATGACGCTGGCTGATCTTGATGCAACAAGATACCCCACCCACTCAATTGTTGGCATCACTGTCGACACGGTTTACCAACAGGCTGTGGCGCACATTCCGTTTCGGTTATCGACCGACGGGGGTGGATGAAATTGGTTTGAATGGAAGGTTTACCTTATCTTATAACAGGAATTAAATCGCACTTGGTACTGTTTTTTTCGTTTCTTCTTCGCACACGTTTAATGAATATATGCAGGGAAATTAGTATGATGATAGTTGTATTGATCGCGTCGCAATGTAGAGCTATGCTCCATGAACGGGGTCATTGCATCCAGAATTCTCCCTAGTAAAATGGAAGTGGCATAGATCCGAACCGCAGTTAGTATCTCGGTATCGGCAATTGCACCCAAGAACTGAGAGAAAACACAATACTCCTGAATCGACCTAGTAGTCATTTAGACATGAAAATCATTTGGGTTCAATGGGTTGAAACCAGGCTAAATATGTGACCCATTGTGTTCGTATGATTAGTAATGTTACGACATGAGCATTGCAAGGAGGGACTAAATATGAGATGGAATGTAAACGAGACCCAGAAGAATATGTGGATCAACTGGCGTTGCTAGGTTCCTAATGCGATTAGTGTGTTTAGCATCCTTGTGGTTTGCTCCGTGTTTACCTAGGACATACGTTTGGCAGCCACGTGTTTCCGTGTTTGGCTATGCACTGTAATGACTTGTGCAGAAGTGCCAACTTCAGTTACAAATTCTATCCCCCTAGAGGACGTGCTGTTTTAATGAAACATCATACACTTACTTACCTTTTGCACACAAATGCACGAAAGCTGCTGCTTGTTCGCCAGGAGTGTTTTCGTGACTTGACTAGTATGAAAAAACATCAATATTTAAACTCAAGGAGCGATGAATCTGTCAGACAGCAGTCCATGGCCACGCGGTAATATGAGCAGCAATTATTGATTCTCCAACCACCCACCCACCTCCGAGTGACGCCCCTTGACTACTACGAATGATTTCCACTTCATCAAACGGTGGAGTTCAACGTGTACTGTACTCCATAGAAAGCTATTGGTATCTGACTCTCCGATCGGTGCACTTTACATTTGGCTAGTACCGGAAACGTTAGGCGAGGCATTCCACGGAAGAGATGCATCCGCCTACTTAAGATTTGACCATATGAAGGCACGTGACGGTTGTTGGTCAGTGTCCTTATGGTGTCAACCGCTGCAACCTTCGTCTTGTCAGTTAGGTGCGACACGAAAGCCCATGGCTTGTTTGAACCTGAACGTTTGATCGATTGTTCATTTTTATGCTGCCCGCTACAGTCAATTGCACAATACACCATTAGGGGAAATTGACCAGTTTTACAGTTTGGTTATTTATTTCACGTTGATTTATGTAATGATTGTCTATTTTGGTCGTATCATCTCCGTCCCCCACTTACCACACATTATACAAGTGTATAATTTTCTCCTTTACTTACATTCTTATACGGATCGGTTCCTGTCCATTTTTTTCTTTTGAGCTTGTCCGGTCGCGAGTGAAAACTCATAGTTCTGATTTAATGAGATCATTACCGGCACCCAAATCGGTATGTCCGTCTTTTTTTACAGCTGCAGGTGCAATAAGTTATTAAAAATTGCATATCTCCACGGTAGGTTACTTGACAGTAATAAAAAAAGATATTTCGATTTGAGCCTTTTAGTTTGGGTCTTTGGGGATCTCGTAGATAGGCACCGATATATTTATATTAATTCATGCACATACCAGTTTGAATACAAGTGTAATAACGGTGCAAAACCAAAAATGAAAGAGCGACCATTGCGTATAAACAAAGACAACAAATTGCGACTGATTGACTGCCGCGTCACTTATCTCTACCTTACCCAGTATGTGCAGAGAGAGCAAATAGACGTAGACGATGGTAGACATGCTTTGAACTATGACCGAATTTAGAGTGCTTTCTTCTTTATGAGAACGAATCTCATCACCCAACACACGACAACGAAATTCGTTACTACTCACTGTTATTCCAACCAGATACGATCAATATTTGAAAGATATCGCGAGTCCATTTGCATTCTCAGAGCGGAGACCAGGTCTCGCAGCTTGAAAGCTAAAGACTACAAATCACGCCTTTTTAGACTCTTCCCCCGAGGGAGAGTTTGGTGTTGCGGAGGCGCCATAACTGTCCGAATTTGCTGAAATTCTCTCTGACTTTCGCCATTCGTGATATGATCTGTTTTCCAGCTGTGGTATTTAAATCCTTCGACCATCTCCAACTGATCACCATAAAGAGTGATTGCAAACACATGTTCCCGCCCCTCTTGTTTGAATACTTAGCATTTGGACGGTTCAAGGTGCATATCCTATCGATCACCTCTGATTTGAAGATGATTAGTTGGTAATTGACCGTGGTTGATTCCTTCTTTCTTGATGTGCTTGCGGGTGACAAATTCCGGTAGCAAAGTGAAGATGGTGATTTGCAGTGTAACTAGGGTTCGAGAGGCGCATGCTGGACTGAAATCGGTGACGCGACGTTTGATTGAAACTAAAAGGTTGCATATATCCTGCCACAGTGCGATCAGGTCTGGGATCGTAAATTTGCATGTCGACTGAAGATTTTTCACAGTTTGCGTAGTTTATTTGCTTCACTGTGTTTAGCTCCTTGTGGAGGATAAGCCGGCTCCATGAAAATGTGCTGGCAACGTGATAAGGGAGTATGGTGCGAGATACGTCCCTATCATGATTCGGCTTTTTCGAGAGCATCCACAGCCTTTGCGCGATCAGTTGCTAATTGCAAGGGATGTTGCTGCATGGTTACCATGACTCTGTAGGAGCTCAGTCGCCATTTGTTGGGTGTACCTGGTACCCAGGGGTTCATGAATCCCCATTAGTTGGACATATTTCCTTCAAAGTCGTTGGATCAGTTAGTAAATCTCGTCCGCTCATTCAGGAGTGACGATCGCATGCCGTACGCCATCCTGCCAGGGCTTTTATACTTCGGTTACCGTCAACCTGCCGAGCAGTTTTCCCCAGGTGTGACCGCTGATGTATGCATCAGTTTCGTTGAACCACAGTTGATATATGGTACATGACGGAGACGGAAGAGAATGCCTCCAAGGGGATATAACAGTCTACTCTTTAAGAGGTGCCGCTCGTATCAGCTACCCCATACACACCCCTTGTTACCTAGTTCGGCGTAAGTTGAATGGAGCAACACCACGGTGAGCCGTCGCATGTGGGAGATACTCGGTGGAAAATTCGTTATCATTATTTCGAATAATAAGGTTTTGCAGACTAGACCACGTGGCCCATCCCACTTCGCTGTTTAGCATTTGCCGCTGTTTGGTGAACGACATCACTTAAAAATTAACAGATGTCGTTGAGAGGAAGTATGAAGAACCGCGTTGTGAGATTATTTTGACCAGGTGGTCTCCTGAATAGAGACTCCTTAGGATAAGGCGACTGGCTTATTGGAAACACTGAAGAACAAAATCTAATCAATAGCACAGGTCCTTCTTCTGACTTTTTTTGTCAGACCAGACTGCTCAAATTAGCCTGCTGTATGTGTTGACCGCCATAGTTCGTTTCTTTTTCGGCTCACCCAAGCCGGCCTACTCTATATCCACTATGGACACCCGTACTTATTGCTTTAGCTACGGAGCTTGATAGAGGAGCTGAGTTACTGTTTTTAGCTTTACAAGGGTGATGATTTTGATCACAATCCAGACGAATATGCGGGATGTTAAGGAACAATTGGTGAATAATTTACCTTGTACTTCAGCGCGCTTGTTGCTGACTGCGTTTACCTTCCACACTCCAGCTCCATCTAACTGAAAACAAGGGTAGAAATATAACTCACTTTCGAAACTGGGGACAACACAGTTCCCTGAGCACCGTTCGATATGTTTTCTCTGGAACTCCACCTCTGATTCAATACACCAATATTTGGGGCCCATATCGCATATTTATCCAAATTTATGCTTATTTCGCCCACTGGTTTTCGCATTAGACCTTAAATGCGTAGGCTGTTTTGAACAGGAAGACTGAGTTACGTCAATTCGTTTCGATGGATTCCCCCTAGCTAATGTTAATAGCCCAACAATCATGTGGAACCCGAACATGTTTCGGTAGTACCGCCATTGTTTATTTATAGATAGCTTATTGCGGTAGACCTCCAGAAATTCGTGACCAAATGTAAATATTTCTCACTCACTATCGGAAAGCTCACCTTGTTACTAACAGATCTTTTTCTCTCCCTGTGGTATTCATCGTTCTTAGAATTGGTCGCGGAGGACGTTTCGGACGTAAAGGTGTCGCGATCAACTTTGTCACCTTGGCCGATCGGAGAATGTTGAAGGAGTTGGAGACCTACTACAGTACCAAGATTTCCGAACTCCCCGTGGATGTGGCCGATTTGTTCTGATCTAGTCCTCCAGGTTTATGCACGATAACTCCACGGAATTGACTGCCTGTCTGTTTACCCGGCGGGGAGTGATGTAAGGATATCGACTAGTTGTGTACAACCTGTTCCTTATTGTCGATTGTCAACTTGGTTCTCATTTCCACCGCGCTCCTCCCCTGATGAACAACCCAAAGCGAAGCGTGTTTTGTCTGTGGTATTCTCTCTCTCTCTCTCTCTCTCTCTCTCTCTGTTTCGTTTCCCTTTGGATGTGAACTGTCATGTGACGTTAAAATCTGTTTTTTTCCAACTCCTAATTCTTCTAATTCCTCAAATAATTGTTCAGTTCTCTTCCATCTCCTTGCCCTCATGTGTGGATACGTATGATTATGTACATCTGCCCCGTCCCGTCGGTGTGTAGATACCACTCTTCCGAATCCCATAATATGCACTCCCACTTCCGCCATCCCTCTTGCATACATCGCTGTTCCTGTGGAGTGAAAATTTCCGGCGCATTTAGGTCTAATTTCCCAGTTCCATCTAATATCCCATTCACCCCTATGCTTAATTCACGGGGATGCATGTTCTGCGACTGGTGATTGCATATGCCTTGCTAGATACATCTGCCACCAAAGAATGGTTTCCTTTATATCTGAACCGTGTTCTATCCGCCGTTTTCATCGTCAACATTTCGTCAGACACCTCTGCATACCCACGTTAATCGGTCTGTGTCTGCTAGCACGACTGACGTTTCACATGTTCTAGAACCAGCCACGATAGCTGTTTTATCAATAGCGTTCGGCATGATTTTGGCGGACTCAGTGGAATTGGTCTACCGATACAAATACTCATCTGCCCATCGATGCGCCATTCTTGCCGGCTCCGCGCTCGTCGCCTTGGCTATGCTGTCATCTCGCCCTATCCCCGTTCTCTTTCTCCGAACTGGATGCTGATTTTTTTAACCCTACCCAAGAGTCGTGTGCCATCAATGTTCCGTTCTTCTCCCCCAATTCTTCTTTTCTCCAAGCCTGTCTCTTTTGCAATCCCTATTCTCGGATTTTCTTCCAGTTTAACTCCCACCGTTCTCATGTACCTTCTGTTTCTGTAGTGTCTCCGGCTACGGGAATGTTCCCAATATTTACAACAGAGTACTACACCGGTCATGTGGCTGTGATTGTTCTGTTCGATACATACCTTCACCATGATGACCTAATCGAGCCATTTTAGAATTTTCAAACTTTTCTTTTCCAGGTTCTGTGAATAAGGTTAATTCGCCAAGCCGGATTTCGGGAAGTGGGTAGTGTCGATCTGAATTTCGATCCACACACACACCGTCCTTCCTATTTTGCTCTGATTGAAAAAAGAAAAACGCGTCGTTGCTTCATGCTACTTTTCATGGTCTCTCTGTGAAAACGAACTGTCCATCCCCCATCTGTTTGTCTCTGTCCGAATTAAACACTGTGGAAAAGTGCTAATTTTCTCTTGTGGTATCCGCAAATACTGATTGATTCAACCCTTGCTTACTTAATTCCTATTGAATTGTATTGTCGAGTGTGTGCGTATGTACACAAGTATATATGTATATGTGTGTGCGCACGCGCGCGCGTTGTGCGCACCTAAGCATGCCTGGGTGTATATTCGTACCACTCATTAAAAATCTGCATCTAGTGTTTTTAATTCTCTCCATCATCAATTCGCTTATTTTTTGGCGTGGACGCGCACGCACCCTGGATGGCACACTGTTGATGTGTGATAAATAATAATACTAACTTGATTTCATTCTCCTTTCTGATATTATTGCTCAGCACTCATTCTTTAGGTCACTGTTGGTCTCGTGTTTGGTTTGCTTCGAATCCTCCCATATGAACCCCACGTCCTCGTATAATCTTCAAGTTGGTCAATGTTTTTCACTGGGGTTTCGAAATCGGAATATGGTGGTTTACCTAGTTCCATCTAGTTTTTCGTTTACAAATCCGGCTCTGTCGCCGTTCCTATTTGCCGAAACTCGAGGTTGTGCGCACTGTAGCCATCATCAAGAGTTTGCTTCCACAACTCGGATGGAAGGCCGATACCCACTCAGTTACTGGATGAGGCCAACGCGTACTCGCAACAAATCGGTCGATAACCAATTTTGGTTAATCTGTTCACTTTCGTTCGACATCAATCGTTAGAACTGTCCAGACAGCGTTCGACCTGCATTGAAAAGAATGCATGATGCTACTGGACATTAGAAAAAATGGGCAGAATGTTGTAAGCACCCTCATTACACAGGTGCACTATTTTCATTTGGCTGAACCAACTTGATCCGAAACCATGCCCTGATCTAATCGACACATCATTTCTTCTTTCAGCTTTGTTCAATGAATCAGTGCAATGAGAGCACTTAGACGTTAGACGTGATGGCAGGTATACTCAAAACAGGACCGAGTCATAAGATCCCGTGTGGAAAGGTTTCTCCTTTTGAAAAATGATTGCTGGTGTCTAAAACAACGAGGAATATCGTTTTTGCTCACCTGACACCACATACGAGAAGCACTTTGAAGACATCGATGGTTGAATGCAGAGAGAGAGGGTTGATTGACACCTCCAGCGTCAGATTTAACAATCATTTGTGCGAGTGGCGGTGATGCACACAGTTCCCTTGAAGAAGAGTAGGCTGTTGTTTAGAGTAACTCAATGCACTCTTGTTTGTTTCGGATCCGAGGTTGCTATGGTCGTCATTTAACTCTGGAAGTCCCATTATGGTCGAGGTTGGGTGTCTTGGGTGGTGGCTGATCACCCTTTCCTTGTACTCAACGAAATGCTCCTATACGACCCAGGGCGTTAAACAGCTTCTGCTGAGGAATTCCTACTCATTACCTTCCTATTGTGGAGGTGTTTTGTTCACCAGATTGAGTGGATGAAAAGCTAACATTTGGGACGGCAAACCACTGGTAATTCTCTACGGCAGTTGGCTAAAAATCCCTGGTACCAAATCGAACAAGGAGAAGAGAGCGAACCAAACTCGTTCACGCCCTCCTGATCGTGGCAGTGATCACCAGCATTGGGCACTTTGGAATTTTGACCAGACCACATGGTGCATGATCTGATGAACGGAATACCGTTTCAGTTTCAGTTTGAACAACCATTAACCATGCACTATCGTGCGCCGGTATTGGTTGCTGTCTTTTGGCTGCCCATTTGGATGAAGAATGGGAGAAAACAGGAAAGTTGAAGATACAGTCGAACAGAAAATGGAGAAGTTCAGTGGTCTAAGATTGCAAAAAAAATGGGAAGATGCACGAACGCCACTGCTTACGACACAGCCATATCATTCAGTGTCTCTAACCCTCGGGTACGATCATCCCGAGGTCCCCAGCCAGAGAGCCTAACGGGACCTATGTGACCCAGAATCCTGGTTAGGGTTTTCATATCCTCATGCCAGGTCCTAGCTTAACCCTGGGCTTTATTCCACCCACAACTTACCTCGGTGAACTTCGCTCGCCGTGGCAAACCATCTGGTGACATGCGTAACACATGCCCAACCACCGTAATCTATGGAGGTCGACCACTTGCCCCAATGGGCGACCGCTAATACCCAAATCTGCTCTTCAACTCAGCATTGTTCGTCCGGCTGTCCCACCAGATTCGTGCAATGCTGTCCAGAAAAGCTTGTAACTTACCTGGATCTTCACTTAGTAGCACAATGTCGTCTGCATACTCTAGATCAGACAGCCTGCCACCTGAGAGTAAATCGATGCTACTATCCTCGCACGAGGATAGGGCTATTTCAAGAAGTGAATCTATCACGAAATTAAATGAAAATGGAGAGAGAGGGCAACCCTGTCCAACACCCCTCCCGTGGTGAATTCGGGCGAAAAAGTGCCGTAAGCCCGAACTCGACTTCGGCTATCAGTATAAAGGGATTGTAATATTGAAATTAACTTCTCGGGCACACCTTTCAGAGAAAGGCAGCGCCAGAGTTTCGAGCGGTCGACTGAATCGAAAGCCGCTTTCCGATCCAGGAAGACAGAGATGGTGAGTCTACGAAACGAATGTCGGTGCCACAAACTTTGGCGAAGAGTGAAGATGTGGTCGATACAACCTCGACCAGTCCCAAAGGCAGGCTGGTTCTCACGCGTGCACCCTTCACGTACGATAGAGAATCGACGGAGTATGATGCCCGCGAGAAGTTTAGAGACGATGTTGATAAAATTAATTCCTGTAGTTTTCACAAGACGATCTGTCACCTTTCTCGTAAATCGGTATGATGACCGATTCAGTTGGAACCTGTTCTCTCCCACACTGAACCCAGGAGCTTTGTTAACTCCGAAACCAAGGCTGGACCTCCATCCTTAAAAACGGATGGGGACAGCCCGTTGGGGCCGGATTTATATGCCTTTTCAGATAACTTATTTCTCGGTTAACCTCCATTTCAGATGGAGGACTAGCATCAACTGGCATTATTTGCCCAGTGGACGTGGAGAGTCATAGGTCAGATGTCGATGGGGGCCAGTTGATCTGAGCCTCGAAATGTTCAACACCGATCAAGACGGATTTACTAATCGTGAATCAGTCTGCCATTGGATTCTTCAATTACCTCACTCACGCCTACTTTCCTGGGGCCTATATTCCTAATCAAACGAAAAAAGTGCGACTATTACCGATAGCCGCAGCCGTCTCCATCTCTCTACACTTCTCTACCCACCACTTCTTGCGTTCATTCCTCAGACTCTTGATGAGCTGGCGTTTGAGGGATTTTTGCGCTGTGTCATACGTGGCATCTGGGGGAGGGTTCTGCGAGCTTCCAGCAGTGCAGCCGAGGTCGACGAGATCCATCGTTTGTGTTTTCACCTTGAGGCAGGGTCCGACGTTGTGTTTAATGATATTTGCATAGCTTCCTTGATTTGCTTCCAGTGTTCATTGAGACCTTTGACTGTTGGTTGGACTGATAGGCGATCGGAGAGCTCCGCTTCGAAAGTCGATCGCGGACGCTGTATCGTGGGTATCCGTTGTCAGTGGCGTTTTTGCGGTTGTTTGCCAGG